AATTATCAAATTAGAATTAAGTATGTCACACCTTGTTTTACTACAAACTGTGCAGAGAGCTGTGTAGTCCCATTTTTGCAGTACGCTCTTTAGACTTAAGTGCTCAAACAAAGCTTTTCATGCATATCTAGATAGCTGATTGAGCCAAACTAAATATTGGCTTCTGCTGGAGATTTAAAAGTGCATTGCGTAACTTTTCTGGAGGAGGGTCTGTCAAGTTACAGGTCAGATCTGTGGAAAAGCAACCTCGCTTAAAGTCAGAAAGCCTGTTTTATAGGTATTTCTGAGCTATAAACTTACCTGTAATTGAATAAATGTAAAGTGGAGCTGTTTAATGTCACAGTGTGGAACATTCCAAGCAGGTGACAGACTCTCCACCACAAAAGTTACGCAATGCACCTTTAAGGCTGATATCTGATATGCTGAAAAGTGCAAAAATCGGCCAACCAATACATCTGATTTTCAATATTTTGGACAACCCTACTCTGCATTCCCCTGTTACGAGTTCTGTGACTGAAATTCCATATTATATAATCCAGAACAAATCAATAAATCAGTATAGACATAAATACCAGACCCACCCCGCGCTCATAAAATACACAGGAGCAGAGAATAGTACATTGTTTGCTATGGCTAAGAACCTCTGCTCTAATTAATCTGGTTTCTCTGTAGTCAATAAAACCTTTCAATCATTTACCAGCGCAATTCTAGGTTTGTAGTTCAGCGGCGCGGCCACACCTGCCTCTGCCTGCTGCCACTGTTGACTCTGCACTCTTGAGTCAACACTGATCTCATTATTTTAAGGCGGTATGATTTCCAGAAAACTGCTGTGCCTCTGGTGTTGTGTTTTCTATATTTTGCAGCACGTTTCCGTTTATCCATTAGGGTACATTTCAAAAAGTATTGTTATAATGACTCACACAATAGTCGACATCACAACATACTCGATATATTACTGCAGGAAGGTTTTTTATTATTAGTTATTAAGGACAAATTTAAAAAAATACAACAATCAATATTTAACAATTACAATAATCAGCATAAAACAAAAGACAAAAACATAAAGCAACACCCACAACAAATACAAAATAACAAAAAAAATTTGGCTAAATCAAACAAAAATAATGTGGTAGTGCAACATAAACACACCACTAGGCCCCCTTACATTGACACATTGCAGCCAAAGACACATTACTGCAGGAAGGTTTTCATCTGACAAAATGCATTGTTTTTAAAAAGAGAATGTTAAGTAAAGCTGATTTTCTTATTAAAGAGCCCATATTACTCTATTTATGATCTGTTATAATGTTGTTTCCTCATCAAAAACAGACCTGGAGTTGTGTTTTGTTTCATTCACACGTATTAAACTCACAAAAATATTTAACTCAACACAATATCAAACAGAAAACGCTCTTGGTCCACCTTGTGATGTCATTTCGCAATACAGGAAGTGCTCCACTGTGCTTTTTAACAAATAAGATGTGCGTTTCTGTTGTTAAGTATCTTTTTGTTTTCTGTGCTTTTTAGTAGTTGTATTGTGTTGTACTGCAATTGTTTTTGTCTATCCTGTGTTTGTGTACAGCACCTTGGCCAGCTGTAAAGTTTTTAAAGTGCTTTATAAATAAATAAAGTTGGTATGGTGATGTTTTAGACTCCATACATCTTCACTAGAATCATTTGGATAATTCCAGCCTTGGAATTGCCAATCTCTACTGAAGTAAAAGTAAAAGTAGCTGTTAACTTAAAAACTACCTCTTAAGATGCATTTTGAGCTTTGGAGATGTAGACAGACTAATAATAAATAATTACTGAAACATGTGTGAATGAAACAAAACACAAATCCAGGTCTGTTTATGCTGAGGTAAAGTAACCAGTATAACATGACTTAATTCTCAGTTTTGCATAATATGGGGCCTTTTAACTGCACTCTGCACTGTAACACTACTGTTTTTAGCTTAATAAAAAAAAATAAATAAATCTATGGCTACTGTAGTGGTTAGACATGATATTTGTACTGTCCGTGCACATGTCTCATTCAGAAGTTGGCGAATACACACCTCGATACACAGGCCACAATACGATACATATCTCGATACAGTGCACTTTTGATTAGATACGGTTCAATAAAAAATAAAGTCTTAATCATGGCTGTGATACTAAAAGTCTTTGTTAAACCACTTCTTGTGCAAAATTCATATGAAACACAAACATTTTAATCATCAAAATGTGTTTCATAACCAAGTTTCCTTCACAACCTACAACTAAACTGTAGCGATGTAACAAAATAATTTAGTAAAATATACCTAAAAATACACTTGGAGATATATCGATACAGCAGCCCACGATATCGATACTGTATCATCACATTCAATGATACGATATATTGATATTTCGATATAGTGCCTCCACTCAATTTCATTTCTCTCCAGTGACTAGGTCAGGAATCAGAATACACTAGACAGTTTGCAAGAACCCCAGAACTTGTAGGCCGTGCACCAGCCAATCAGTGAAGAGCTGTGAAGCCATGACGTCAAACTCAAGCACCTGTCTGGGTCCCTTTTGTGGTACAGCACAACAGTAAACAAAGCGGTCGAGATGGATGTAGACGAAGACATACATTCTGTGTTGGCAACGATTCCCGAGATTGAGGATTTAAAGCCGAAACAAAGAGAATGTTTAGTGAATTTTATCAAGGGGAAAGACGTTATTTTCCTTCTTCCTACGGGATTTGGTGCATTACATCCGTCATGACCAAATAGCAACGACTGGTTAAATAAAAAAGTATCCGCCTACCGTGGAGCGACCGAATTCTAATGCTGCCATGTCAGACGGTTTCCACGAAGTAAAACCGGCTAATGAATCAGGCTAAATAGAGAGAAACGTAATTTAGAATCCTTTATGTCTAGTACATGTGAAGAAATTGACAATAAAGCTAACTTAGAATTTTGAACTTTAAACTTTGAACTGTGCATTATTGATATTTTAATATAAGATATCTCCGTTCTTAACCTTCATATCGCATGCTGCCCTAGTGTCGGTACATGTGCCTCCTCCGCCCTTGATTCATTAGTGATGAGCAGCAGCAGCAGCAGAAGCATCAGGGCCTGGTAAAGACTCAGACTCAGAGGCTCAGGCTTCGTCCCAGAGGACCACAGGCTCTCAGGCTCTCAGTAGAACAACAACATCCACCAGCAAGTCACAGCTAAAAACAGAGAGAGTGCATCAAATATAACTCAAAACATAAGCTCTAACATTTTTGCTCATTTATCCAATCCACTTTATTTACCGCACATAGCACATTTTATAAACATGGAAGTTTCCAAAGTGCTGCACAGACAAATTAAGACAATAAAAGAGTAAATCATGAATGAAAACGATAAATAAAAAGTGTTAAAATGCACAAAGCTAAACATTATATCTTCAGAGACACCAGACAATGTTACAGGGCTAAGTTATATGTCAGATCTGTGGAGAGGCGAGTACACTCACAGTAAGAATGCACGTTTTTAGGTCAATAAAAACCCACATTCCTGAGTAAATGCAAGCTGGATGCGTTTAATGCCACACCGAGACATTCCAGACAAAGCATCAACTCTCCATTAAGATCAGCATTTGACAGATCCTCCACTAGAAAAGTTACACAATGCACCTTTAAAAACAGAAACAGTGCAACAAATATAACTCAAAACCCAAGTTCTCATCTGAGAGTATCTGCTCGGGGAGGAAATGCTTAGGTCACTGCATGTATTCAGTCCAAATATGTAAATGTGTGGCTTTATTTACATTATAAATAAGGAAACAAATGGCCTCAGATTAGTAATATCTGTAAACACATGAGCTCATATCTCCGTCGTCTTTTGTATTGTGTGAATTTCACAACAAATGAAGTCAATGATGTCATCAATATTCCCTGGGGGTGTGAAGGTAACTCAAAGCACTGCTCTGTTAGAAGTAGTTGGATTTAATCAGAGTTTTATTTTAACACGATCTGACCAGAAATAGTTGATTTGGTTGGAAGTACAACAGGAAAGCTGATTTGTGCTGTTAAACAAGTCTCTTGATTTACCGCTCAATCTAACCTCACCTATGGTCATGAGCTTTGGGTAATGACTATGGGTGTGCAAAAATACCAAAATATTGATTTTTGTATCGTTTAATGTGCTGATACAGTATCAGTATCATGGGCTGCTGTACCGCTATAGCTCCAAGAGTATTTTTTGGTATCCAGCCCTAGTAATGACCGAAAGGACAAGATCATGGATACAAGAGGTCGAAATGAGTTTCCTCCTGCAGAGTGGCTGGGCGCTCCCTTAGAGATAGAGTGAGGAGCTCAGTCACACAGGAGGAGCTTGGAGTAGAGCCGCTGCTCCTCCACGTCGAGAGAAACCAGCTGAGGTGGCTAGGGCCTCTGTTCTGGATGCCTCCTGGGCGTCATACTCAGGAGGTGTTCCAGGCATGTCCCACCAGAAGAAGGTCCCCAGGGATGACCCAGGACACGCTGGAGGGACTATGTCTCTGGGCTGGCCTGGGAATGCCTTGGGGTCCCACTGTAGGAGCTGGAGGAAGTTTCCAGGGTGAAGGAAGTCTGGGATTCTCTGCTTAGTCTGCTGCCCCTGCGACCCGGCCCCAGATAGTGGAAGACAATGGATGGATGGAAACAAATCTCTCTCAAATAAAATTAGTCACAAGCTCGCTAGCCTTAGTCAACAGTTTTTCAGTCTGTCACTCTCACTTTTTTGTTGAAAATCAAACTCAAAAAGAGGAGATGAATGCTCATATTGATCACAGGCTCCTGAAATTTAGTTGTTTAAATGTTTGTTTGTTTTGGTTGTTTCAGTTTTGTTTTTGTTTTGTTTTTCTTGACTCTTCAGAATATCTTTGAACGCTTTTATCTGTGTTCACTAATGCATTGTGTCACCATGGTAACTGCTGAACGTTCTGCCAGTAGAGATCCATGTAGACCCCTCTCTGACCTCTGCCTCTCTCTTCCTCTCTCGCAGATGACATGGCGTCCCCAGTACCGCAGCTCAAAGTTCCGTCACGTGTTCGGTAAAGCGGCCGCCAAAGAGGGCTGCTTCGATGGTGTACCGATCACACGCAGCGTCCAGGACAACAACTTCTGCGCCGTCAACCCGCGCTTCCTCGCCGTCATCACAGAGTGCGCAGGGGGCGGGGCCTTCCTCGTCCTCTCCGTCCACCATGTAAGTGTCAAACTGTGATTTAAAGTTTTTATTTTATTTTTTTTAAAGGTTATGCAAAATCTTGTGAGCTTTTAGCTGTTATAATGCTGTTTTGTGTTTTTAAAATTCACCACACATGTTTGAGTAATCGTTTATTATTAGTTTGTCTACATCTTCAATGCTCAAAATGCTCTGTTCCACCTTGTGATGTCATGAACTGGTAGTTATAATATTAATAGCTAAATTTAACTTTTAGTTCAGTAGAGATTAGATTGGATTTCAGGTCTGGAATTGCAAATGATTCTAGTGAAGGTGTATGGAGTTTAAAAAACACAGTGGAGCACTTCCCAGCACTTTCCAGTTATTAGTAAAGGTTCACTAAGCAACCAACCCCTCCTAGTTGTCTCCAAGGAGGTATTGCTTGCCAGGAATGTTCCACAGTATGGCATTAACCCTTCACAAAAATCCATGTTTTTTCAAAATATATTTTTAACTATGAAAACGTCTGAAATTGAACATAGTAGTCAAATGCGTTTAATGCCACACTGGGGACAATTCCTGATAAATCTCCATAGAGACGAGGAGGTGGCTGAAAGGTTACATAGTGCTGCTTTAAATGGTACCGTAATTACTATAAGGAGCACTTAAAATCCTTTTATTTTCTCAAAAATCGATAGCACGCCTTATGTATTAATTCTGCTTGTGCTTACTGAACTCAAACTGTTTTTATGTGGTACACGGCGCTCAAAAATCTGTCAAATGTTTTAGTACAACTTTGGTAAGCTATGAAGCTGCACTGCTTGATGGATTGTTGGACCATTATGGCTACTGAAGTCAAGAGCCTCACAGAGTCCGTCAGAAGCTGAACCGTATCAGCGCACAAGGAGCGAGCTGTTTTTTCAGTGCTTATAGTTTATGCAAATTAGCCATGTGGCTTTAAGTTTCGCTTCTGTAAAATGTAAACAAACGTGCACAAAACTGCATTAAACACATTATTACTCAATGTATATTTGAGTCGTCCTCGTAAGAAATAAAAAACTAACTTAAATTATCCACCCACATTCACATTCATAATACACTTTCACCAAGACCGGGAGGCAACGCCGGGCCAGATCTGCCAATGGATTGTGGATGCCTGGGCTAAGGGATCAGTCTCAAGTGTCGTCGTTTGTTTTGCTTAATGCGCCTTATAATTCAGTGCACCTTATAGTCTGAAAAATACGGTAAAGGGGTTTAGACTTTAGACTTACACAACTGGGTATTGCATTTTCAATCAGTACCCATTAAACAGCACTGTATTCTCCACGTATTGATTAAATGAGGAAAATTGTTGTAGGAACGTTCCACAGTATGGCATTAAACTTGTCTATCTCCATGGACACAAGCAGGTCATGGCTGAAGTCGAAACTGCTAATCAGAGGCGTTTGATGTCATACTGTGGACATTTCCTGGTAAATCAACAAACATCTCCAGTGATAAAAGCAGGTTGTTGAAAAGCTACATAGTGCTGCTTTAAAAGGTGGGAGGTTTAGACTTTAGACTTTCACAACAAGGTATTTATTGCAATTTCAGTAAGTATCCTATAAACGTCACTGTATTCTGGAAGTATTGATGTGATGAGGAAAAGCATGTACCTCTGTGTTCTTACAAAGACATCAGCTCATATCAGGTGCATTGTTTCCTGCTGACTGTTTGCCAGAAGGACTTTGATCTGATCAGAACAGATTATTGCTTCAGACTTGTTTCACTTTTGCCCAGCAGCTCCGTTTGCAGACACCAAGTTGTGATTTTAGAGTTGCATTTTATTGCTTAAAGAGCCCATATTACTCTATTTTACTACTATTTTCTGAGCTATGTCATAATGTTGTTTTCTCATACTTCCTCCGTACACCTTCTCCACTGAACAAAAGGTAAAATGCAGCTGTTATCTTTAAAACGATCACTTCATGACATCACAAGGTTGAACGTTTTGATCTTTGGAGATGTAGATAGGCTAATGAAATGATAAAGGATTACTCAGGCGTGTGTGAGTGAAACAAAACACAACTCCAGGTTTGTTTTTGATCAGGTAAAGACGTCGTAACATGGCTTAAACCTTTTAAGTCAAACCTTTAAAGTGCAGATAGCAGATTAGTCGATACATTTTTTCTCTAACATGATTGGATTTAAGATTGCACTAAAACTCTTAGTCGTTTCTAGCATTGTAATTTGAATGAAGGTTATGATTTTACTTCCTGGTTGGACCTGGGCAGCAGATGTGACGTACATTTGGGGTATGTTACCGAGCAAATGAAAGAGAAAACACACACCAAAATTCTTGTAGAGGTGCAAATGTATTGTAGCCAGACTAGCGCCACCTAGTGCCTCCGCTCAATTTAATTTCTCTCCAGTGACTAGGTCAGGAATCGAAATACACTAGACGGTTTGCAAGAACCCTGGAAATGCGAGTCTGGGCATCAGCCAATCAGTGAAGAGCCATACATTCTGTGTTGGCAACAATTCCCGAGATCGAGGATTTAAAGCCAGAACGAAGAGAATGTTTGGTGAATTTTATCAAGGGGAAAGACGTTATTCCCTTCTCCCCTTCGGGATCTGGGAAAAGCTTAATATACCAGCATTACACGTCACGGCCAAATAGCAGCTATTGGTTAAATTTTAAAAAAAAGTACCCGCTTACTCTCGAGCGAACGAATCCTAATGCTGCGACATCAGACGGTTTCCACGAAGTGATGAACCAGGCGACCGTTTACCTTCAGTTCAGTAGAAATTGGCAATTCTAGGGCTAAAAGACATAATCACAAACATAATACAGGACTGATATCATTCAAATGATTCTAGTGAAGGTGTATGGAGTTTAAAAACATAGTGGAGCACTTCCTGTATTACTATATGACATCACAAGGTGGAACAGTGTGTTTTCTGTTTGAGAGTAGAGCTCAGCCTGAATGTGCAAAACTCTAGGTGTGTTTTTGATGAGAAAACCACATTATAACACAGCGTGATATGGGTCATCTAAACTGGGCTGTTGATGTTTCACCGACGTACACCTTTGCTCCTTGAACGCACCACGCACCTGCTGGAAGTGACATCCATTATCTCTGAGTCTGTAAATAACTGTGAATCATCTTGGAGCCCAAAAGATGAAAAAAAAAAAGATGACGAAAGCCCAGAACCAGCTGAACCTAAATTTTCAGATTCTGTTGGTTAAACGACCCATATTGCGCTATTTTCTGATCTGTTTTAATGTTTCTTCATCAAAAACAGACCTGGAGTTGTGTTTTATTTCATTCACACATTTTTAACACACAAACCTTGAAAACAGAAAACACTTTGTTCTACCTTGTGATGTCATGTAGTAATACAGGAAGTGCTCCACTGTGTTTTCAAACTCCATACACCTTCACTAGAATCATTTTAGCTCTGGATTTGCCAGTTTCTACTGAATAAAATGGTATGATATTATCACGATATGCATCTGACGGTACAATATTTTTTGCGATATTCTGAAGGGGCCGATATAATTGTAGATGGGACACTACCTTGACAAGATTTTGGTGTGAATTATTTCCATCATAATCCCAAGATTTCAAGTGAAACACATTTCTCTTCATGTTGTCTGCACTGAAATGAATCATGGGATATGTAGTTCCCAATGTTCATAAGCTGTTGCTACTATAAAACCATGCATTTAAGCAAAGGAACTTGTGATTCGATATATTGTGACAGATCACGATATTATTGTGAGACTTTTGACAATACGATATCACGATATTTAGGTTATTGTTACATCCCGTAAAAGGTAGCTGCTAAATTGAAAACTGGAAAACTGGAGCATTTTTAGCTTTGGAGATGTAGACAGACTAATAATAAAGCTTTACTCAAACATGTGTGAATGGAACAAAACACAACTCTAGGCTTTTTGTTTCACAAGAGTCAATTTTGCGTAACAGGACATTGCACATCCTTCTCTGTCCATCTCTCCTCGGCTTCAGTGTTGTCTTAGTGAGTTATCGCCTGATTCTCGCCTGAGTGTGTATTACCTTTGACTCCAGGAATGGCATTACTTACATTTTCCCTCCTTGTGTCAAACTGTGGTAAATTCCTTTGTTCTGCGCATGATCTACTGTCGGGTTGGGAAAGTCATTAAAAAGCCTGAAAAATAGCAATGTGCGTTTTCATTTTAAAGACAGTTACATCATAGTTTTCCAAGCGCACGTTCTACTGCGCGTTACTCTGTCAGCGCACTGATGTGTAATTAGGAGTCTTGTTGAGACAGAAAATCCTGACTGACTTTTCCCTTGTAAGTGGGCAAGAGAATACCAAACGCCTCACCTGAGCGTTTAGAAAGTTTCAGCTCAGTGTTGAGAGCAGAATTTACGGTGTGGGTAGTGATGCCTGTGTGAACCTGCAGAGCCAGAAGTCAGAGGTCAGAGTGGAGCACTTTCATGTTTAAAACAAACACTCAGGGCTTTATTGACCTGCTTACGCCTGGACTCTCAACCTAAGTATTCTTGTTTAGTTTAATTAAGTTCTGTATATGCCAAACTATGACAAGTGAAACGATAATTTATTTCTACATAAACATAAATCTTGCCTGGTAAAATGTTTAAGAGCTAACTTTCATTAAAATGCAGCAAAAATGTTCATAACTAGGGAATAACCATCGGAATTGCATACTGTTTATGCAGGGTCAATAGGACTTTCACATTTGGCTTTTGCTGTAATCACTCAGTTTAGTTTAGGTTAGTTTTAGTTTTTATTTGGTTTAGTTTAATTTAGGGTTGGGGTTGTTTTTTGTTTTTGGTTTGGTTTGGGTTTAGGTTTAGTTTGGTTTGAGTTTAGGTTTGGTTTGGGGTTAGGTTTTGGTTTTGGGGTTTGGTTTAGGTTTAGGGTTTGGTTTAGGTTTGGTTTTAGGTTTGGTTTTAGGTTTGGTTTGGGTTTAGGTTTAGATTTAGGGTTAGGTTAGGGTTTGGTTTTTGTTTTAGGTTTGGTGTTTGTTTTTTTGGTTTAGGGTTTGGTTTAGGTTTGGTTTAGTTTAATTTGGTTTGGGTTAAGTTTGGTTTGGGTTTAGTTTTGGTTTGGGGTTAGGTTTAGTTTGGGGTTAGGGTTAGAGTTTTGTTTTCTTTTTTGGTTTAGTTTGGTTTGTGTTTAGGGTTAGGTTAGGTTGGGTTTGGTTTTTGGTTTGGGTTTAGTTTTAGGTTTGGGTTAGATTAGGTTTAGGTTCAGGAGACAGTGCACAATATACATCAACCTTAACAGGAGAGATGCTTCGTACCAGGTTGTAGCCAGTGATTCACAGAGACATGAAACTCCCCTTTTCATGTGAATCAATTACTTTATTTCTACAGAATAGTCATTTATAATTTAACAAACGCCTGAAGCAATATTATGTTTGTAATTAACTCCACGCTTTGCAGGAACATGTACAGGAAATATTTTCTGTAGAATCTGTACAGGGATTTGATTAAGACTGTCCGGACATGTAACCTCATGTTGTCATTAGCATATCCTGAAAATGTCAATTGACTTTTGGATTTTGTGTTTTGTTTTGTTTTTTCAGACGGGGAAAGTTGACCCTCACCACCCGAGAGTGTCCGGACACAAAGGAAACGTGTTGGACATAAAGTGGAACCCGTTTAATGACTTCTGCATCGCGTCATGTTCAGAAGACACCACGGTATGTACTGTACACACACACACACTAATGCACACACAAAGATACACAGAGACGCGCAGACAGACAGACACAGAGACAGACACACATAAACACAGATACACAAACGGAGACACACACAGACACACACACAGAGACACGCACACACGTGCACACACGAACACAGACTCAGACATGCACAGAGACACACACAGAGACACACACAGAGACAGAGAGACACGCAGAGAGACACGCAGAGAGACACACAGAGAGACACGCACACACGCCCACACATGCGCACACACGAACACAGACACACAGAGAGACATGCACACAGAGACATGCACACAGAGACATGCACACAGAGACACACACAGACACACACAGACACACACCACAGACAGAGACACACACAGAGACAGCACACAGAGACACACACAGAGACACACACAGACAAGCACACAGAGACACACACAGAGACACACACACAGAGACACACACACACAAACAGAGACACATACACGCGCACAGAGACACACACATACACGCAGAATATATTAACAATTTTCCAATGTAAAGTGAATTCGAGTCGGGGTCGGAAGGAACCGGAAGCGCCTCCATGAACACTTCCTATTTGAGTCATATTTGTTAGCTGTGTCCACTTATACAGGCTATGACACACACACACTTAGACACGCACAGACACACACACTTTTATGGGTGTGGTGATTTTTCTGTGGAATATGGACAAGTAGCTGCAGATTTTATCACTGTGAATTTGTGGCCTTAAAATATGCAACTCTCTACATTCCTCCATCTCTGACCCGGGCCTCAGCTAATCAGTGTTTACTCCGTCTCCTCTCCCCTCACTCCTTACTCCGAAGTTCCACTCTCCACTGGCTTTATGTTTGATTATGTGTGTTTTCTGTAGGTAAAAGTTTGGGAAATCCCTTCTCACGGTGTGTTCAAGCACATCACGACGCCGTGGAAGGAGCTGCAGGGTCACAGTCGGAGAGTGGGGCTGATCGAGTGGCATCCCACAGCGAACAACATCCTCTTCAGCACAGCGTATGACTATCAGGTAAACGTCTTTATACTGTCTGCTGTTGCAAAATCTGAATCCCGTTTGAATCCTGTTTGAATCCCGTTTGAATCCCGCTCTCGACTTAAACATCATTGGTTTAACATCAGATCCCCAAATCCAGCTTGTTGTGTCCTTGGGCAAAGCACTTAACCCACCTCGCTCCTATTGTCTGTGTACACTGGTGTATGAAAGTGTGTGTGTGAACGGGTGACTGGTTCTTTGACATAAAGCGACTTGAGCGTCTTAAAAGTGCTCAAGGTGGAAAAGCACTGCGTAAAAATTTGATCATTTACCATTCAAAGTTGGTTAATTATTACATAATCACACTAGGTTTGGACACACCCTCTCATTTAATGTTTTTTTCTTTACATAATCAGAAGACATCAAATATATGAAGCAAGGTATATGGAATCATGAAAAGAAAAAAAGTTAAAAGTTAAGTAAATAATTAAAATTCATATAGTATAGAAAGACATTAACAGTGGCACAACATCAAACCTACAAGAAATGAATGAAAAGGAGCAGAAAGAAGAGTAATATTATGTTATCTGCCCCCTTTTCCAGACAAAACATCAACACCGATAGTTACTAAACGTTTCCGTTCAGGCACAATAATTAATCAACTGCACAACAAGTTTTTTTTTTCATACATACACATTGCACTTGATTTTATGTGTTTTTTAAATGCCATTATTGTACTTCTTTCTTTTATATCTTTGTCAAGACTATTCTATCATTTAACTCCTTTCACAGTGATGCTTCGCTCCATAATCTTGGTTCTGAATCTGGGTTTTTTAAACATGTAGGTTCCTTTTAAACTGTAGTGGCTTGTTCTCGTCTCAAACAGTCTTTAGATATTTACATGTAATACACTGCACTTTGTTTTATACATGAATTTGAGGAGACTTAAGTCAACAATATCATGCATTTTCAACACTTTAAATTGAACAAATAATAATTCTATGTATCTTACTTCATATATTTGAAGTCTTCTGTATGTATCTAAAATGTAAAAAGTAGAAAAAAAAAAAAAAAAACTGAATGAGATGATGTGTCCAAACTTTTGACTGGCTGTAACTAATCTAGACATTGTTTTTGGTAATGTGTGACTTGTATCGCCATGGAAACAGCTGAACAATCCGTCACAGACATACAAGTAGTGCAAAATGTCACTGCAAAGTATCAATTGTAATCTCAAATTTATAGGTGAAGTTAGATTAGGTTAGGTTAGTTTAGTTTTTAGCCTTAGCCTTTTGTAGTTAAAAACACTTTGGGAAAACGTGCGCCAAAGAGACATGACAAACAACCAGTCATTACAGACGACATGAAACTAAAATAAACAAGATACAAAAGATAAAAAACTCAAATATTAAGGTGTTACATCAAAGCTCAAGTGCATTGTTGATCTTATAACATTTTATGGGAAGAAACTGTTAACACGGAGAGGAATAGGGATGAGACAAGATCTCACACATACTAAAAATGATCTTGAGAGATTTTTTTCCTTATGTTTTTATGTTTGGATTGAAAAATTACATTTTTTGAGAATGTGTAGTCCCAAAAAGCAGAGCTACTATGACAGCAGAAATATTAAATCAAGTAAAAATGGTGAGGCTAAAAATGGAATTGCACAATGTAAATAATGTCAAAATCTCGTCTTGTCTCGTTCTTGTAGATCCAATCTCGTGTCTCGTCTCGTTTTGTGGAAATTGTATCTCGTCCCACTTGTTGCGAGAAGTCTTACGTTTTTGCATGTCTGTGTCTAGATCATGATCTGGAACCTGGACAGTCCGGAGCAGGTGATTAAAAACCCCGTGAGGACCATCTCCCACCATCCCGACGTGGTTCTGTCCATGTCGTTCAACGCTGACGGGACGCTCCTCGCCACGGCGTGTAAAGACAGGAAGGTCCGACTGATGGAGGCGCGCTCAGGGAATCTGCTGCAGGTACAAGTCTGAGCTAAAACTGGATAAGAACCAGTTTAAACAGTTCACCTTCACTAGAATCATTTGGGTAATTTCAGTCCTGGAATTGCTAATCTCTCCTGAACAAAAGGTAAAAAGGAGCTGTTAACTTGAAAACCACTAACCACTTCATGACATCACAAGGTGGAACCGAGCTGTGAACTTTAGAGATGTGAGACAACAACATAACAAAGGATTACTCAGATATTTGTGAATGAAACAAAATACAACTCTGGGTCTGTTTTGGGCAACAACATTATAACATGGCTTTAAGCTCACGAGAGTCAACATTTTTTTCCCCCAAAGTATTTTAAAAATGAACTACTACTAGTACTACTACTACTACTACTACTACTACTACTACTACTACTACTACTACTACTACTACTACTACTACTACTACTACTACTACTACTACTACTACTACTACTGCTACTACTATTACTGCTTCTTCTACCACTACTTGTACTACTGCTACTACTACTACTGCTACTTCCTACTACTACTGCTGCTGCTGCTTCTGCTACTACTTCTACTACTACTACTATTACTGCTACTTCTACTACTGCTTGTACTACTGCTACTACTGCTACTTCTACTACTGCTGCTACTACTGCTACTACTACTACTGCTACTACTACTATTTCTTTTTCTACTTCTACTACTTCCTACTACTACTGCTACTACTACTACTACTACTACTACTACTACTACTACTATTTCTTTTTCTACTTCTACTTCTACTACTACTGCTACTACTACTACTGCTACTACTACTACTACTACTACTACTACTACTACTATTTCTTTTTCTACTTCTACTTCTACTACTTCTACTACTACTGCTACTACTACTACTACTACTACTACTACTACTACACATAACGCTTGTGTAGCACTTTTCAAGATACTCAAAGACACTTAACATGAGGAAATAAACAAAGGTAAAAAAGAGAAAAAGACAAGATAAAGTTAATGAAAGGTGGTTTTAAAGAGATGGTTTTCGGGGTATTTGATGGGTAGATGGGTATTTCAATCAAATCCAGCTTTATTTGTATGGCACATTTTATAAACAAGACAGTTTCCAAAGTGCTGCTCATAGCAATGTAAAACATTTTACTTAAAAAAAAAATCTGCAGAATTATGTTCCAACCACGAGGAAACTAATAGAATCAATCAATAAAATAATAATAATAATAAAATCAAGGTACAAAAATAATAAAATCAATACATTAAAGTAGTACACAAAAAAAATAGAAAAGATAAAAACAATAAAAAAAAAAAAAAATAAATAAAATAAAAAAAAAAACAGTAAATAAAATAAAATAAATACATAAATAAATACAAATAAATGAATGAATAAATGGATAAATTAATTAATTAAAAAAAATAAAAAAATTAAAATAAAGACAAAGAGGACCACACAACTCACTTGGTATTAAAAACCAGAGAGTAAAAGTGGGTTTTAAGACGAGACATAAAATACTCCACTGTTCCACTGGGCTGTTCATATTTCTGTTTCAGGTATTTGAAAAGGGACTATTCACATTTATACACATTTCTGTAAATGCCCCAGTATTGGTTGTACAGCTAGTTTCCAGCTTGCACAAAAGACAAAATTACATTATAAACAAAATAGATACGGTTAAACACTTTAAAATAAACACACATACACTAACTAACTAATAAACACTTTAAACACACTAATAAAAAGCTGGTATGAAGGTTCGTTTCAAGCCGGTTTTCCAAGTTAGGAGTGAACTTCACATCTAATCTAAGCATACCAAACAGGCTGAGTGTGCTTTTTACGTCTTTAGCAAAAGTTTGACATTTTATTAGAATTCTTGAGCATGTCAGCACATATTGTATAAGTGGGAGCTGCTGGTGCTGTCTCCCTTCCAGCACCACACAGCCAAAACTGACACCTCCACTCTGGCCTGGCCCTCAGCATAACTCAGACGGCAGGTCATCCACAAAGACACTAAACTCTTAAAGCGCCTCACTGCTGCCAAACAAGCCGCAACTGGACCACATGATGTAACAGAGCGGCTATAAAAGAGAATTTATGTTGTTTTATTTTGAACCACAATATCAGAGACGGAGGAAGTATTGAATTTTGTTACTGAAATAAAAGTGTAGATACCAGAGCAAAAAAATATAAAAGTAAAAATACCAATCCCATGGAAAAAAATGACTCTTGTAAACCTGTTTAAAAATGTACTTAAAGAGTAAAAAGTAAGAGTATTTCGGGCTTAGTTTGGAGTCTTTTAAGGCTTCAAATATAGTGATTTTGATAAAGAATTTTGTTAATTAGAAACTGTGGAATCAGTCATTTTTTCCTGGCTGTTTTTATTTGTATATTTTGCTCTCTGAAACTATGAACTTAGTTTACAAACAACTAGGGATGTAACAATAACAAAGTTCTCATAATAATATCGTTGGCCATCATAATATATCGAATTACAAGTCTCTTTGCTTAAATTAAGAGTTATGGTGCAGCAGTAACAAAAAAAAGACAGAGGGAACTACATAGACCATGATCCTTTGCTCCATTTCAGGGCAGACTACAAGAAGAAATAAAAGTTCTAAGCACTTTTAAGTCGTAGTTCTTTGGATTAAGTCTTGTCAAGACATTTTAAAAGGAAAAAGTAACATATTCACAGTTTTGTTAACCTCCACAAAATATCGCAATTAATATCGTACCGTGAGATGTATATCGTGAAAATATCATACAGAGAGATTTGGATATCGTTACATCCCTAATCGTGAGCTTTCCCACGATATCGCAGTAAATATCGTACTTTGAGGTTCATCCCGTGATGATATCGTATCGTGAGACTTGGATATCGTTACGTCCCTACAAACAACCCTTAGACTTTTCAGCAGGTCTCAAACAATGATAAAAAATACTTTTACTTTTCAGTCCTGTTCAAAAATGTAGTAGAGTAGAAAGTACAGATACCTGCTCTCAAATGTAGTGAAGTAAAAGTAAAAAGTATCCCCTGTAAAATGTACTTAAGTGAAGTACAGATTAAATTTTATACTTTACACAATACTTTATTACTTTTACTTCATTACGTTCCACTACTGGGTATTTTGCAATTATTTATTTATTATGTCTTTATTATTTTATTATTTTTAGCTTTCTACCATGTTATAACATTGTTCCATCATCAAAAACATGTCTGAAGAGGTTGTAGACGTCCATCAATGCATGTTTGATTAATTTAGCGATCTCTCCTGAGCCCTATTTGAACCCTCTTTACATGACCAATGCTCCCACAGGACAGTTCTTTATAAATATACAAAAACATGACACAAAACTGCACACAACAACTTCACAAACCTGATGAAGTGTGTATTATAGCTTTATTTGCGGAATGCACGCTGATTCTATTGTGATAGCGCTCTGAAGGGGGAGTGACTTAGCATGGAGAGCGCCAAAAACAAAAGTTAAACCTATAAAACTTGTTCATTTGTTGTTTTCGGTGTGAACAAAAGTAAAACACGGCCTCTTTAACGATGCGTCGTGTGTTACAGGAGGGGAACGCGAAAGTGAGCAAAGCCAGCAAAGCCCTGATTCTGGGGAACATGAAGATGGTGGTGACGACGGGGACCTCCAGGTGGAACGACCGGCAGATTGCATTATGGGACATGGTGAGACTGACTCATACAACAGCACGTTCAACACACAGACCCTGGGATTTTCAAGAGTTAGGGTCTAGGTTTTATAGTTACATCTAATTAGGCCTGTCACGGCAACAAATAATACTGAGATTTTGCAGCTGAGATCATCAGCTTTTAATAATTCTCTCTAAATCAAGCGTATATATAGATAATACAATATAACATAGACTATAAAATAAAACAAAAAAGAACAGTGAACAACAAGAGGATTTTTCATAATATCTTTTTCAGCTCAGTTTACACATTTGTGGAGTTGTAGAAATTATAAATGGTTGCCAAGTAGATGAAAATATTCTCAGATTTAACGTGACTAAGTACCTTATTTTTTCTAATTGTATATGTTTCATAACGTACCATATTGATTTGAGGGTTTGGTAGTTCAACAGCGGCCGACTTCACAAAGAGAGCAAGAACTGGATCTGGCTTTAGTGCGTTTTTTTTTTTTTTTTTTTTTTGCTTTTGTTTTTAAGAATTTTGATTGATTTGATTCCTTTTTATTTCGAGTTTGTGCCAAGAGAGAAACAATAATCATACACATACTACATATACATTATAAACAACAGACAAGCACATTTCTCGAAAAGTAGGAGGAAAAAAACTTGCATTAACCCACCCCTGTTCATTACTTTCAAAAATTCAAAAGTTATGTTTCTTATTTACACTGAAGATGAAATTTACAAATATTTACCTATGGCAAAAATAAATTACGTACTATGCACACTAAACATAATTTTAACCAAATTTCTTGTTTTTGTTTTGTTTTGTACTGTATTATGGTCATACAAAATAATAATAATGTTAACAAAGGCACAGACGTTTATCGTTTATGTTCGTATCAAAATAAGCAAAATGAGAGTAAAGAATGTAAGGATTTTTTTTTTTTCATTTTATGGTAGTAGAAACTAATAATAATCTTAAAAAAGGCACAAAAGTTTATTGTTTGTGATCGTACAAAATAAACCACAATGAGAATGAAAAATTTTAGGGTGTTTTTTCTTAGTTTATAGTTGTACAAACTAATAATAATGACAAAGAAGGCACAAAATGTACATTCTTTGGGGAGTAAATCTAACTAAAAGAACTATTCTGTCTGAAGCTCTGGTACTCAGGTTAGACTTAATCTGAGCTTTATTTTATTTTAACACAATTTGAACAGAAAGAGCTGGTTTAGTTTCTCTCACCTTTTTGTTGAAAATCAAACTAAACAGAACCATGAACCCTTGTATTGATCACAGGCTCCTGAAAACTTGCTGTTTAAGCGTATTTTGTACTTTTTATTGAGTTAAAACGTCTTTTGTCCGTGTTTGCTGATGTGTGACATTCCGCCAATAGAGATCCATGCAGAACACCCCCAGAGTAATGTCACTGCAAAGTATCATTTGCATTGAATTTATGGCACTGATGTAATAACTAGTGAAGGGACTTTTGGCTCTTTTGTGAGATCCGAATCTTTTGGATGTGTTCTTTTCAAAGAGCCGTTCCAAAGACTGGCTGATTGGCTCTTTTTATTTTTATTTATCCGACAGAAGCCAATGTGAGGATTCATTTTATCACGGAGAGAAATGACCAACGCTCAGATTTGTTTAAAATGATTCAATCTCACAGCGAGAGTGTGTTTACCCATTGAAAATATGCAAAAGATAAATAAAACGTTGCACTACAATAATAATAATTTTTTAAACTAGCAGTTATTTCGATGCCAGATGTTCACTCGTGTTTCCAGCTTTGCTTCTGTGCTGATTCTTGTGTTGATTCAGCATAAATCAGTGTAAAAATGCGTACAAATTAGAAAGAAAAATATTTTGTTTGTTTAAAAAATGAGATCCAGTTGCAAGCGTTCATGTTAAAGCTGCATTGTGGAACTTTTCTGGTAAATTTTTTGTCTGGAATGTTTCACAGTATGGTATTAAATCTTTTTATCTTCATGGAGACCAAACCAGACCAAGTTACAGGTCAGATCTGTGGAGAGGCGACCCCACTCACAGTCAGAATGCTTGATTTTCTAGATATTTTTGAGCTATAAAATCACCTGTAATTGAATAAATGTAAAGGTAGAGGTAGAGCAATGACGTATCCATAGAAACAGGCAGGTGATGGACCACCAACCAAAAAATTACATAGTGCAGCTTTAAGGAGCCTGTGTCGCATCACTGGCTTTAACCCTAAACCCTGTAATATGGTTAAAAACCCAAATTGCAATAAAAAACAGCAGCAGTTTGAGACACTTTAGTAGGGAGTTTGTAATCCCCGGAGTCGTCACTTCCTCCTCTAAATTACAGAGGAGCAGCACTTTGAAGTTCTAATACTCATTAAAGCACGTTTCATGCAGCTGAACATTGACCTAGTTTTGTGGTGTAATACATTTGCCCCGAGCATGTTTACATCGAGTGTGACAGTCATTTGCAACGACTCCCACTGTATCCCTCTATAACTGTATCACCGCATCGCTGTATCTGTAATGTGTTTGCTTATTTAAAATGGACAAAACAATTGAACAGCACATGGTTTGTTGTATTATTGATGTCATTAAATCCTCCTATGGACACATATTGAAAATTACAAGTGATAAACAAAAAAAAAAGTCACTAGATGTTAATAAAAAGGAGAAAAAGACGAGAGCTAATGAATCGCCTTTTTGAGGGCAGCACCCAGGCTGATGCCACCTAGTGCCTCGACTCAATTTCATTTGGTCAGGAATCGGAATACACTAGACCACAGGTGTCAAACATAAGGCCCGGGGGCCGGATGCGGCCCTCCAAGACCTTTAATCTGGCCCTCAGCTGATTTTCTACTAAAATATTTTAATTATAGTTTCTATTAAAATATTGGTAATTTTCTGCGGTGCTTAGCATAGTGGCCCCTCCCACCATAGCAGCATAAATGAAGATTTGCCTCTTTCTTAACGCTCTTAAAGGATGATCGTTTTGACCTCATCAGCAAAATGTCAAAAATTAGAAAAGTGGACGCCAAGTGCAGGATTTTCCAAGAAAAATTGACTTATTCCTATTTGCATACAAGTTAATGTTTAAACATTTAAGAAAAATTGCATTTTTCTTAAAGTTTCAGGTTGTTCATAATATTATAATGTTTTGTAAAAGAAAGAGTTCATCAGTTAAAAAAGATTTCTGTAATAGATTTGTGTTTCTCTGCACAAATATTTGAACTTATTGTTATTTTTGGGGTTTATATGACATGAGTTTTCTGATCCGGCCCCTTTGGGATCAAAGTAGGTTGGATACGGCCCCCGGACCTAAATGAGTTTGACACCCCTGCACTAGACGGTTCACAAAAGCCACGGAAGGTAAAGATGTCGTAATATGACTTACAGCTCACGAGAGTCAAACCTTTAAAGTGCAGATAACAGATTACTTGACTTATTTTTTCTCTAACGTGATTGGATTTAAGATTGCACTAAAACTCTTAGTTGTTTTTAGCTTTGTAATTTTGATGAAGGTTATAATTTTTCTTCCTGGTTGGACACGGGCAGCAGATGTGACATACATTTGGGGTACGTTACCTAGAAAATGAAAGAGAAAACGGACACCAAAATTCTTGTAGAGGTGCAAATGTAAAGTAGCCAGACTAGCGCCACCTAGTGCCTCCGCTCAATTTCATTTCTCTCCAGTGACTAGGTCAGGAATCGGAATACACTGTACGGTTTACAAGAACCCCGGAAATGCGAGTCTGGGCACCAGCCAATCAGCGAAGAGTCATATATTCAGTGTTGTCAACGATTCCCGAGATCAAGGATTTAAAGCCGGAATAAAGAGAATGTTTGGTGAATTTTATCAAGGGGAAACACGTTATTGCCCTTCTTCCTACGGGATTTGGGAAAAACTTAATGTACCAGTTAGGCCCGTTAGAGACACATTATATACGTCACGACCAAATAGCAGCGATTGGTTAAATTAAAAAAGTACCCACCTACCGTCGAGCGAATGAATCCTAATGCTGTGAGGTCAGATGGTTTCCACAAAGTGAAACCGGTTGATGAATCAGGCTAAGCTGTGACGACAATATAAGCTTATCACCACCAAGTGTGGAGTGAATGAATAACGCACAAAATTGTAAAACAACTTTGAGCGTCTGGAAGAAGCAGAAAGACTAATACATCACCATCATCATTATTATTATTAGTATTATTTGGCAAAGGAGTCACCTGCCTGGACATAGATATAACTAACAAATCAAAAAGCTCTTGGCAAATGTCCTTTATCTTCTAAATAAATTAATCCCCCCATGGACACATATTGAAAATTACAAATGATAAACAAAAAATATCACTTTAGATATTAATAAAACCTTTTCACCACCTTATCACCACCGAGTGTGAAGTGAATGAATAATGCACGAAATTGTAAAACAACTTTGAGCATCTGGAAAAGCTGGAAGACTAATACATCATCCTCAGTATTATTATTATTATTATTATTATTATTATTATTATTTGGCAAAATAGTCACCTGCCTGGACATACATATAACTAACAAATCAAAAAGCTCTTGGCAAGTGTCCTTTATCTTCTAAATAAATTAATCCCCTATGGACACATATTGAAAATGACCAAAAAAAATAAAATAAAATAAACAAAAACATGTCACTTTAGATATTAATAAAACCTTATCACCACCGATTGTGAAGTGAATGAATAATGCACGAAATTGTAAAACAACTTTGAGCATCTGGAAAAGCTGGAAGACTAATACATCATCTTCAGTATCATTATTATTATTATTATTATTATTATTATTATTATTTGGCAAAAGAGTCACCTGCCTGGACATGCATATAACTAACAAATCAAAAAGTTCTTGGCAAATGTCCTTTATCTTCTAAATAAATAAATCTTCTAAACGTCTAGATAAACATGTCCTCAGGATGAATAAAGTGTAATCTTGTCTCAGGTAATGGATGTGTGCTTGGTCTGTGTGCAGGTTTCATGTGAAACACTGAATTTGAATACACAAATCGGCAAACAAATGACCTGAGTTTGACCTCCAGCAGAATCATTATTTTACCACCACTTGTCAAACACAGGGAATGCATTATTTTAATATTTTAAGTATGTTTATAACTATTATAATTACAATATATCGTGTTGCAGTTGAAGTGTACAATTCATACTTTGTAGTGACTGGCTGGGGGTGTTCTGCGTGCATCTCTGTTGGCGGAATGTTCAGCAGTTACTATGGTGACATGGCTACACGCAAAGTTTTAAGATCTGAAAAAAAAAAAACACAAAACGGATTCAAGCAGCACATTTTCAGGAGCCTGTGATCAATACAAGCGTTCATGGTTCTGTTTTAGGAGTTTGATTTTCAATTTAAAAAAACGTGAAAGTGACTGAGAAACTGTTGTAATGTTAATGAGCTTTTGACTGTAAATTTACGTGTGAGAGACTTGTTTAACAGCACAAATCATCTCACCTGTTGTAATTCAAACCAAGTCAGCTCTTTCTGGTCACATTGTGTTAAAATAAAGCTCAGATTAAGTCTAATTTCAGTAACAGAGCTTCAGACAGAGCAGTGCTTTCAGTTAGTTTCACACCCTCAGGGAATGTTGGCGTCTTCTCCAAAATGTCAATTGATAACTGATGGTAGATTATGTTATTCATTATTTTTTATTTATTGAAAGTCCAATTCTCTAATTCTAGTTTTCTGCCACTTTACATGCAGCTGTGCCATCTAGTGGACAAACATCTAATTGCGAGCATTTGTTTGTTTTCTTTTCCTCTTTGGCAAACGCTTTTTAGGATTAAGATGTTAAATATTATTGAGTTTCCATTGCCACTTCTGTAAAGTTGCATTTTTTAAATTACAGGGAAGAATAAACGACTGATGGTTTTGACACTGGCTGTATTTTCACTATGCTGTGTAGGGTTGTCAAAAGTATCGAAAAGCAAATATTAATCCATACTAAAACTAATATTGAAACTAGTTAATATGAGTAAGTATCTATACTACAACATACTCACATTAACAGAATAAAATGTTAATGTGTGACAGTTTTAGTATACATTTGAGGTTTATTAGAACTAATTTAAAGGTTGTATATGACGCAAAATTGACTCTTGTGATGTTATATATGTTATATATTATAGTCATGTTATAATGTTATTAACTCTTCAAAAACAAACCTGGAGTTGTGTTTTGTTTCATTTACACATCTTTGACTAATCCTTTATTATTAGTCTGTACATCTGCAAGTCTTAAAACACGCTGTTCCACCTTACACTACAAAAAATCTTGGCCAAAATGTAAAATAGAAACACTTAAATCGATCAGAAAATGACTTAAAAGTAGTGAAATTATCTGTCCAAGCTGCAAGATAATATTACCCGACAAGTTATCTTAAAATAAACGACCTCTAGACTAGAATTAAGCATCTCAGAACTAGTAGGTCGATAATAAATCTGAAAAAAACAAGATAAATAACCTGATATAAGTTTTAAAATCTTGGCCAGATCAGAGAAATTTGCAGTGTTGTAATTTTCACAGCTCCTTTTACCTTTTGTTCAGTAGAGATTGGCAATTCCAGGTCTGAAATTATCCAAATGATTCAAGTGAAGGTGTATAGAGTTTAAAAACAAAGTGGAGCGCTTCCTGTATCACACATGACATCACAAGGTGGAACTGAGTGTTTTCTGTTAGTGTAATATAGGCCCTTTTTGTCCTCATGCTAAAATAAAGAGTATTATTATTCTGTATGTTAAAATTACATTAAAAACTGAGCATTTTTTATGTTTTTGTGATATCGTATCGTGGTATCGAGTATTAGGTGAATTCATTAGTATTAAAATTCAAGTTTGAAATGTTAGATCAACACTAAAACTGTGAGATGTTGTTCACTGAGGGTTGGTTTAGTGAGGTGCAGATGGCCGTGCAGCTGTGTGTGTGTCGTGTGCAGAGGATTAGGATCGTGCATTAGATGAGAGGTGGTTTTTAAATTTGCACAGATGAATGTGGCTTTTTATATTCGTGTTTTGATTTGACTAAACTGTGTTACAGGATGATTTATCTGTGCCTTTACTACAAGAAAACCTGGACAGTTCGTCAGGGGTCCTGTTTCCGTTCTACGATCCAGACACACACATGCTTTACCTGGCTGGGAAGGTGGGTATAACTCATGATCTAGACCAGAGGTGTTGAACTCAAATTCACAGAGGGCCAAAATTAAAAACTGAGACTAAGTTGTGGGCCAAACTAAATATTTTAATGGAAAATTTCAACAACATCTGCATGTTTTTTCTTCTTTCGTGATAGGTAATGTTAAACCTTTTCTAATTAAAATAAATGTTTCATAATAGTTTTGCTTAAACATTCAATCCAGAACGAGCATAATATAAAATAATAACAACATTTTAAATAAATAATGTTTCTATAGTCTATCTGTAGCCATATACATACTTGATATGATCTCGCGGGCCAAATTTTATTCTATCGTGGGCCAAATTTTACCCCCGGGCCTGAGTTTGACTAGCCAGGCTGGTGCCACCTAGTGCCTCCACTCAATTCATTCATTCATTTCTCTCCAGCGACTAGGTCAGGAATCAGAATACACTAGGCTGTTCACAAAAACCCCGGAAGTGCGAGTTCGGGCACCAGCCAATCAGCGAAAAGCCATACTTTCTGTGTTGGCAACAATTCCTGAGTTTGACGATTTAAAGCCGGAACAAAGTGAATGTGTAGTGAATTTTATCAAGGGGAAAGATGTTATTGCCCTTCTTCTTATGGGATTTGGGAAAAGCTTAATATGCCAGTTAACCCTGTTAGTGGTGCATTACATACGTCACGACCAAATAGCAGCGAGTGGTTAAATTAAAAAAGTACCCGCCTACTGTCGAGAGAACGAATCCTAATGCTGCGAGGTCTGATGGTTTCCACGACGTGAAACCGCCTCATGAATCAGGCTAGAGTTTGACATGTCTGATCTAAAATGTATAAAAAGCTGGATATTGTTTAAAGTTGCATTGTGTAACTTTTCTGGTGGAGGCTCCGTCATATGCTTTTTTTTGTGGAGATGTTATTGCTTTGTCTGGGATGTTTCACAGTGTGGCATTAAACCTTTCTATCTTCATGGAGACCAAACCAGACCAAGATGTGTGTAAAATCCCTCAGTTTTTCAGGTAGAATTCATGGCAAAGGAGAACTTCAATTTGCCAACTGGACAAACGTTTATTTTGGTAGCTGCTTCTTCAGTTCTGGGGGGGCCGCAGTTTGGACGCCCAAAATAAACGTTTGTCCAGTTGGCAAATTGAATTTCTCCCTTGCCACAAACCAGACCAATTTACAGGTCAGATCTGTAGAGAGGCGATCCCGATCACAGTCAGAATGAACGTTTTTTGAGGTATTTTTGAACTATAAAACCACCTGTAATTCAATAAATGTAAGGTAGGGGTGTTTAATATCATACTGTGGAACATTCCAAGCAGAGAAATGACCCTCCACCTGAAAAGTTACACAATGCACCATTAATTTAAACTGTATTTATTTAAAAGAGTTTAATTAACTTATTTATTTGTGTCTAGGGTGATGGCAATATCCGGTACTATGAGATCAGCTCTGAAAAGCCATATCTTCATTACCTCACTGAGTATCGCTCTCCTATACCTCAGAAAGGAATGGGTAAGACACAAACCAGGACGAACACAAAGAGTCACAAAGGTCCTATATCACATAAAATGGACTCTTATGAGCTTTAAGCCATGTTGTAATGTTGTTACCTCATCAAAAACAGACCTGGAGCTGTGTTTTCTTTCAATCACACATGTTTGAGTAGCACTTTTTATTAGTTTGTCTACATCTCCAAAGCTCAAAATGCACTGTTCCACCTGTAGTTTTCTGTAGTTTTTAAGTTCACAGCTGAAATGATTCAAATGATTCTAATGAAAGTGTACGGAGCACTCAGAACTTAGTGTTTTCTGTTTGAGAGAAGAACTCAGCCTAAATATGCAAAGTGTGAGTGAATGAAATAAAACACAGCTCCACAAAACAACTTTATAACATAGTTCAATGAGGTTCATTTGGTCTTCCAGTAAAATTTATGTTATTAGGTTCTTTTTTCAGACCAAGAGTTTGTTTTCATTTCTCAGTTTTGACTACTTTCGATCTTCCTCAGAGTGGTCAAGTGATGTTGCTGTGATGTGTCCGGTCAGCTGATTTAAACAGGTTTTGGTGCTGTCTTCCTACCGGTGGAGGCAGGACGACAGCTCCATCTGCAGGACAGTAAACCGGGATAAGGGGGCTTTTTTACTCACACACACCTGGGATACTGTCCTGAGGAAGTCGGACTGCAGATGGCGCTGTCATCCTGCCTCCATCAGTAGGAAAACAGCACCAAAACCTGTTTAAATCAGCTGAGCGGACACATCACGTGACCACTCTGAGGTAGACCGCAGTGAGCTGTCGAAACTGTCAGGTATGGAAACAAACTCTTGGTTTGAAAAAAGAACCTAATAACATAACTTTCTAACATAGATCAGAAAATAGTGTAATATGAGCCCTTGAATAAATGTGCTTTACAAGCCCTTCACAGAATCTGAATATAGATTACGTATGTTTATACTGAGCAAACAGAAGCAACACAATCTCCTCAAATGGCCCAAAGGTATTTGAATAACCAAATCAGAGCATTTAGTTGTAGATCCAGGAAAGTGACATGGGCATTACTTACACAAGCCTTGTATTGGGGCCTACATTACACAATTTTCTTATCTATTATAATGTTGTTTCCTCGTCACAAACAGAACTGGAGTTGTGTTTTGTTTCGTTCACATGTTTAACACACAAACCCAAACTCATTAAACTAGAATCACTTGGATAAATTCAGCCCTGGAACTGTCAATCTGTACTCAACTAAAGGTAAAAAGGAGCTGTTATCTTGAATACTACCACTTCTAATGTCACAAGGTCTAACAGAGCATTTTGAGCTTTGGAGATTTGAAGACTAATAATGAAGAATTACTCAGACATTTAAACATTAAACAGGACACAACTCTAGGTACATTACCGTATTTTCCGCACCACAGGACGTGCTCATAAGCCTCCAACCCCATCAAAAAACGACTGCGCGCCCCACAATTCAGAGCGCCCTATACACGAATTCACTCGGGTGTCCCAGCACAACTTCAGCGAAACACAACAAACAGCCACACTCATCACTCCACGCCGACGAGGAACGGAACGGAGGAACGAACCGAAAAAGCGAGTCCAATGTGCCACTTCTAGACACAACTGAACAACTGAGTCACTGCGAACACGCCGACAATCCGTTGGTCCCAGACAGCACCCTCCCTACACGCCACAACTGAACAAAGCCCAGAGTCACCGTGAACGCGACAAACAAAGTCCCACTGACCCATCCAACTGTTTCGTATAAAGTCTGGTGCGGTTTATTTGTGAAAAAAGTTTGAAAATAGACCATTCAATGACAGTGCGCCTTATAATCCAGAGCGCCCTATAGTGCGGAAAATACAATATTTATTTATTTATTTATTGCTCATACTATTATTTTGTTGGCATCAATTTAAAGACAACAACAACAAATCTGACAATTACATACATAAATACACATTTCTACCATTATTTGCCTTGTCTTTGCTGCATGAACAAAAGGAGCAGGAAGAAGATAAATCTCATAAACCCTGCTCCTTTCACAGATCAGAAAAAATAAACATTTCTTTAATAATCGTTCCCCACCTCAAAATCCAAGTCACCAATCAATAAGCCATACACATGTTAACTTAAAACATTTTACGTAGTCCCTCATTATTTTATCCTTGTACATTTTATTGAATTTAGAAACCATAGTGCAACTTTAAATCATGATTTAAGAAGCTCCATGTCTTTACTCCATACACAAAGACGCGTTTCTGTTTTAATGTCGTCCTTGAGAATACAGTTCGGAAAAAATACTGTCCTCCGAGACAAACATGAAAAGATTTTGTAGAGTTTCAGGTAAATGTCTCGTTGTTTGGCTCTCCACAGAACTAATAAAATCTTAAGAACAGATTATAATATGACTTACAGCTCACAAGAGTCAATTTTGCGTAATATTGGACCTTTAATGTCATTATAATCCATAGTAAATGATTTCTTTGTGTGTTTTCAGGTGTGATGCCCAAGAGGGGGCTGGACGTGAGCTCCTGCGAGGTCTTCAGGTTCTACAGATTAGTGACAATCAAAAGTCTCATCGAGCCTCTGTCCATGATCGTACCTCGGAGGGTAAGAACCAAAAGCCACATTCTTGTTAGGGCTGAACAACGAATCGAAATATAATCAAAATCACAATTTGAATGGATGCAATTAGTTATTTTTAAGAACCGTAATCATCTCTGCACAGAACAAAATCTGTGTTTTTAGACTTAGACTTAAACTTTATTGATCCACAAGAGGAATTACTTGGCCACAGCAGCTCACACGTCAATGTATATTACAATAACAAAGAGTAAAAGATATAAAAACGGTGATAATGAATTCTAAATAAGTAGCAATCAAATAGCAAGAGACCAGTGTCAAATAAGGCATAAATATATAAATGTATATTACAAATAAAGTAAAAAACAGAAATATAGTAATATAAATCCAATATATCACAGTTATATTCAAGAATTCATATGGAAAACAGTCCAAAGATGATATTATGATTGACAGGACAGGAAAGATTCTGCATGAAAACGGCTTACCCTGTAGTTTAGATCTGTGATTCTTGTCAAATTTTAAAAACGTGAACTTCAACAGAATTATTAAAACAGAATCACAGATCTAATTGCAGTTCTTGTCAGGAAAATCTCTTGGATATTTTCCCTAATCGTTCAGTCCTCCTAAATTCTCACATTATCTCAGGTGAATCAATTAAAATAATCTTCTTTATCAAAATCACAACATTTCAGCCTTTAATTGTTCTAAAAACCTCTGCGAAATACTTTTACTTTCTGCTCTTTAAAGTACATTTTTGAACAGGTAAAAGGTGCATTGTGTAACTTTTCTTGTGTTTCTTTTCCTTGTTTCTATGGAGATGTCATTGCTCTGCCTGGAATGTTCCACAGTATGACATTAAACTGCTCTACATTACATTTATTCAATTGAAGGTGGTTTTAGAGCTCACAAATACCTAGAAAAACAGACATTTTGACTGTGAGCAGGGTTGCCTCTCCACAGATCTGACCTGTAACTTGTCTGGTTTGGTCTCCATGAAGATAGAAAGCTTTAATGCCACACTGTGAAACATTCCCAGCAAAGGAATAACAAGCATTTGACAGATTCAATACACCTTTATGTAGATTTTTTCATGTGATACTTTTACTTTTACTTGAGTAACTTTTTTACCCTAGTTTCTGTACTTTTACTTAAGTAACAAAATGGATTACTTCATCCACCACTGCACTTGTTTAATGAATTTGATCTCTCCTTTCAGTCGGAGTCCTACCAGGAAGATATTTATCCAATGACCGCGAGTAACAAACCTGCAGTCACGTCAGAAGAGTGGCTCAGCGGAGTAGATAAAGGTCAGAAACTGTATTTTTGTATTTATTTATTTACAATATTTCTACTTTATTTTTTAGACTTCTTTTGTTTGTCATCATTTGCAAAGTAATGTCAGCCTTCACCTTGTAGTTAAACATTTACCATACAGTTATAGTACATTATAGTGCCACAAGACTGTACAGATGAGAAAAATTGGACAAAAATTGGACAAAAAAGGGTCAAGTGCTGGCGAGTTGCATTTTTGGGAAGCCATTGTTCGTAAAAGCACTGCTAGAATGACAACAAAAATATTCAATGCAGTAAATACAAATTCTGAAGCCAGCTTTGGAAACTAAATCAGACTATTTACGTATTAGAAATTATGTAAAAATCTCATCTTGTCTCATTCTCGTGTTGTCTTGTGGAAATTGTGTCTCGTGTCACTTTAAAAAAATGAAATAAGATGAAAACAAAATGAATAAAAACCAAACCAAAACCAAAATACATACACATCACAAATACACACAGGTTTATAATATCTTATCAATGATCACTTTTTAAATAACAGTCTATAAATATTTGCTTTCCTAGTCGTACATCTTTATAAAGTTGCATTTGTTCTGTATTATTTATTATGTACTTTTACTTTGATATTAATTGTATGTGGAAAAACTCTGTGTATATACTGTGGTTTAGGTGAAAAAAGCACTGAATAAGTTGCAAATAAAAAAAAAAAGAATAATCTGGGCTGAAAGGTTATCTCAGGGGAGGAATTCAGCTCAAATATAAAGGAGCAGTAGCGGATTACAATAGCTCTAACTACTTTGCGATGAGGAACACATATTCATTACACCTGCCTTTACATCCCGCTTGTACATGAATAAAATATTGTGCAGACGGAGCAGCTCACGTTTCTCCTTGTTTCTTCTCTGGCAGGCCCGGTGCTGATGTCCCTGAAGCCTGGGAGTCAAGTGGAGGAGGAGTCATTCCCAGATCTGAGCAAAGCCTTGGGGAATTCACTGGATCCAGCTCGGACTTCCAACCGGCCGGGAATGCTGCAGCTCTCCTATAACATACAGGACCAACTGGCGACCAAAGAACGCAACGAGGACAGAGCGCTATCACAGGGGGACGGCGAACGGTTGGCGCTTAGTAACGGGGAAGATCTGGCGTTTTGTTCTCCGCCAAAGACAGAGAATGAGGTAATTGACTGTGAACTGATGAAGGGGACATTTAGGCCAATGAGCAACACGAAGGTTCTATTCTGTACAGTCGAGTTTGATGTAGGATTGTCAAAATTGCCGATATTCAATTTCCACCGTAGGCCGATTTGTGGGGGGGGGTCCAGGGCTCTTTTTTGGTCTCAGTCTGTCCCTGCTGATTAGGAATGGGACAAGATCTCGTGACACAAGATCTCGCGAGACAAAATTGCCACAAGACGGTGCAGACATGTGAAAAATGATCTTGTGAGATTTGTTTCCTCATATTTTTACATTTACTTGGAGAAAAAGTTTAACTTCGCTGAGTAACTCGTCTTTAGAAGCCATAATACCAAAAAGCAGTGCTACAGTGACAGCAAAACTACATAATTAAATAAATAAAAACATTGTAAAGCCAAAATTGTGAACTGAATGGCACAATAAATTTATTAATTACATCAAAATCTCATCTTGTCTCATTCTCATGAGCCAACTCTCATGACCTAGTAACACTAGATGTTTTGCAAGAACCCCAGAAGTTGTAGACCACACACCGACCAATCAGTAAAGAGCTGTGAAGCCATGACTGGGTGTCTTTTGTGGTACAGCACAACAGTAAACAAAGTAGTCGAGATGGATGTAGACGAAGCCATACATTCTGTATGGGCAACAATTCCCGAGATCAAAGATGTAAAGGGAACAAAGAGAATGTTTGGTGAATATTATTAAGGGGAAAGACCTTATTGCCCTTCTTCCTATGGATTTGGCGCATTACAAACATCACAACCAAATAGCAGTGATTGGTTAAATAAAAAAAGTTCCCGCCTACCATCAAGTGAACCCTAATGCTGCGAGGTCAGATGGCTTCTCCAAAGTGAAACCAGCTGATGAATCAGGCTAGTCATGACCTGCTTTGTCTCGTATAAATTGTATCTCATCCCATCCCTAATACTAATAGTATTGAAGATTCTCAATTAGACAATCGGTCATCCGTACAAAAAAACATACTGTACTATATACTAGTATAAAACCCATTATATTTTTAAATTATTGTTATTTATTATAAGATTAGATTAGATATAAATTAGAATTGGGTTTAGATTTACCATACATCCAGGCCTAGTCAACTTGCAGCCCAGGGGTCATATCACTCCCTCCAAATAATCTAATTGGAGACTAGTTTAGTCCTGGTTTTGTTGTGGTTTACTCCAAGTTGGATTCTGGTTTAGTCTTGGTACAGACTCAGTTGCTCTAGTCTAGTCCTAGTTTAATGCTGGTTTAGTGCTGACTTGGCAATTTTGCAAATCAATATTGGCAAAGCTTTTTGTATTTTTTCCTACAATACTATCTGGATTTAATTTTAAAAGTTAGAATTGTCTAGGGGTACTTCACGGCAATAGGCTGTACAACACTTAATAGTTGCTTAGATCTAAGGAGACGCCCGAAAAACAGAAGAAAAATGTAGAAAATTACTAATTACCTAGTGTTATTTTGTTTCATTCACACATGTTTGAGTAACCCTCTATTATTACTCTGTCAAGTTTTCAAGTTAACTTCCACAATTGACCTTTTGTTCAATAGAGATTGGCACTTCCAGGGTTGAAATCATGCAGATGATTCTAGTGAAGGTGTATGGAGCACTTCCTGTATCACCACATGACATCACAAGGTGGAACAGTATTTTCCATTTGAGTAAAAAAACTGCCTAAAAATTCAGGGTTTGTGTGTTAAACATGATTAAATGAAACAAAACACAACTCCAGGCATGTTTTTGATGAGGAAACGACATGACAGCTTAAAAAAAAAAAATTGTAATATAAAACGCTGACCACCTTTTTTTGTGTGCTCTGTTATTTCTGCAGTTGCGGTTGAAGTTCCACAAACAGCAGGATGAGATCCGCAGACTCCGAGAGCTTCTGAACCAGAGAGACGTGCGCATCAAGCAACTCGAACTGGAAATCAAGAACGCCAAAAACACACAGCCGCCGTGTTCACTATAAGACTGTTCTCCCACCGAAACCCTCACTACACAGGACACAAAACTACATACTCTGCTCTCAATACATTCCCAATACACAGGGAGGATTTCAAGCCAGTAGAAACGTGTACTTTTATCTCTCTGACCCCAGATGCACATTTAAGTTGTACACACTTTAGTCTTATCCAAAAATGTTAAACTCTGCACCTCTTTTTATCGTGTACGGCTTCACAGCTATGCAAGTTTAATAGGCTCTGTACACAGTAGCGCGCAACGTCATTTTGGTCTTAAAATTTTCATATTAACCCGCTCTACATGATACTGGTGTTTTTATTTAGCTATTTTTGCTCCTGTAACTGCCGAATTAGCATGAATGCTAATGCTCCACTTCTTTATACGGTCTATGATCTCAAAGCTAATGTTTACTTTTATTAAAATTGTAAAACATAACATAAAAAAGAACTTACTAAAATTCAAATACTTCCCACTTATTTTTTTATATGTAGAATACTTCCATTTGCGACGTAGTTTTAACAGTTATTAGGCCTCGATGCTAGCATTAGCATTAGCATTGAGACACAAACATCGCTTTTTAAACATAGCTGAAGTATTCATTTTAATTTTGTACGTTTTTTTTAACATGTTTTCAGTGACATTCATCCGCAGCTCCCTGTTCACTGCCTTAACTTTAAATATTTATTCAATTTAGCGTGAATTAGCAAAGCCACATAGAGATAAAATTGGACAGGAAGTAGTGATGCTAACAGTCAGGTTGCTAGGCGCTATTGTGTACAGAGCCTATTGTCAGTTTTTTTTTCCACCTTTTTATGCTCTTTGTAGCAAGAAAAAAAAGACGTCTGTGCCACTTCTTTGACTGACGGTTGTTACTCTTGTTTGAAAGCTAAAGGTGCACTGCGAAACTTTTCTGGCAGAGGGTCCGCTACATACTCGTCTCCATGGAGATGTTATTGCTTTGGCTGGAATGTTCCATGGTATGAAATTAACCATACATCTAGCATTTATTCATTCCAGGTGTTTCTATTGCTCAAAAATACAATAATTCCTTCTGGGAATTAGGGGCGACTCTCCAGAGATCTGAACTGTAATGTAGCGTAGTGCTGTAACCTCGGATTAATACATTTAATCTGAACTGTGGAACATTCAGGGCTCCCACGGTCATGGAAGTCCTGGAAAAATCATGGAAATTTAAAATGTAATTTCCCAGGCCTGGAAAAGCCATGCAATTTTAGTATCTCTTTCACGCAACTACAGCGTTCTTTTAATTTCTCATTAGGCTGTTATGATTATTTCTGAATATATGCCCCTTTTTTTTAAAGGAACAGTTCGGAATTTTGGACATAGGGCCTCATTTCCTGGTGATCCAGAGTGTTGGAGACGTGTGGAGACACTTTTTAAAATATTCCATCCAGTCCTTGTATTTGCAGGGGTCACTGGTGCTAGGCTAGCACAAGTCAATGGCCATAGTTAGCCTGCCACTGAAAACAGTCTTACCCACTCCACAAAGCACCCGAGGCGAATCTGTTATTACACCAGAGGGTCCATGTGAATGTCTGTGTTAATAGAATAATTTTAAAAGTAAAACTAACCTGGTATCGCATGAATTGTCATATGTTGAGGGACTCTTTTTCTCAGCAGCAGCGGAATTTTACTCTGCTCTAGTTAGTTGTGATGATATGAACTCTGCTCAGACATAAATCCTTCAAATGCAAGGTTGGTTTTACTTCTGAAATTATTCTATCAACACAGACATTCACATCGTCAGTCTGGCGTAATAATAGCTTTATCTCAGGTGCTTTGTGAAGTGGGTAAGACTGTTTTTAGTGGCAGGCTAACTATGGCCATTGACTTGCACTAGCCTAGCACCAGCGACCTCTGCAAATACAAGGACTGGATGGATTATTTCAAAAAGTGTCTCCACATATCTACAGTACTCTGGCTCACTACGAAATGAGGCCCTATGTCCAAAATTCTGAACTGTCCCTTTAAAAGAGACACCAATAAATACACTGACAGTATTTTGAATGTTAAAAAACTATAACACCAAACCATAAGGTGAGTGGAAAGGGTGAACATTTCATATTTAGCCCTAAAATTATGATCAAGTCTACACATTTAGGTGCTGTAAAGTCATGGAAAATTCACTTTAGTTCATGAAAACGTCATGGAGCAGTTTTGAAATTTTGTCAGTGAATGACAGTAGGAACCCTGAACTTTCTAGACAAAGCAATAACACTTCCATGGTGAATCCTCCACTAGAAATGTTACGCAATGCACCTTTAAAACAGACATCCCATGTGAATGTAACCCAGGTTGATATTTTTCTTATTCAACAGATTTTTTTTCTTTATTTAAACTACTGTTAATGGATGTGGGTGAAGCGTGCGGTTCAGGATCATGTTTGTGAGTGAGAAAGACGCATGAGTGATGAGATCTTGTTCCTTGGTTCCACTGAGCAAATTTGAATGTGTAATTTTAAAATAGTGAAAAGTCAAATCTTTTTTGTTTCTCATACTGTGCACGCCTTGTTTATATGGACGCTGACCAGAATTTTATATCATTTAATTTTTTGTCGTTTAATTTATTTTTACACAGACAATAATACGAGTTATTTGAGCTAAACAAAAGTACTTGAAATCAAATTGAGATTGTAAATGTGGTAAATGTACAAGTCAGCTTGTATGAAACGTCTTCATGCTTCTAATTGTGTGAAGATTAAAGCCATCATAACAGAGACCGCATCTTTCTTTATGAACTGTCTGTCTTCATTGTGTCATCATTGTGTCATTGTGTCAACCCGGAGAGCAGCCCAAGTTGATGGTTACATAAGCGAAAGGCACTAAAATTGCATTGTTATTGCAAATGTAAAATCTGGCCAGGTGCTATTTTTGACTATTTAAAATGTCAGTGTATAATATAAGAATATAATCAGTGATAAACCCTTTAAAGGTCCGATATTATACCTTTAAATTTTAATTTTAAAGGTCCTATATCACACAAAATTGACTCTTGTGCACTTTAAGTCATGTTATAACACTGTTACTTCATCAAAAACATACCCAGAGTTGTGCTTCATGTTTCATTTACACATGTTTGAGTAACACTTTAAAGGTCTGTCTACATCTCTAAAGCTGAAAATGCTCTGTTTCACATTGTGATGTCATGGAGCTCGACCTTTTACTTCTGTTTATATATTTATTTGGTTTAATTTTAGTGGGACAGTCTACATTAATAAACATTGAGTAGACTGGATAATTTCAGCCTTAGAATTGCCAATCAGTTCTACTCAAAGTGTATGGAGTTTTAAAACAAAGTGGTATTACAACATTACATCACAAGGTGGAACAGAGGAATAGATGTGCAGGGTTTGTGTGTTAAACATGTGTAAATGAAGCAAAACACAACTCACTCCTGGTACGTTTTTGATAAGGAAACAACATCATAGATCAGAAAATGGAGCAATCTAGGCCTTTAAAATGCTCAGAAACCCCTTTATAATTGTTTTTATGAAGTAACAAGTGCAAAAATACTGGCTTTATTCCACAGTCCAATAGCCTAGATATGGTTAAGGTACTAAAAAACACACTGATCCACTGGCCTCAATACTATTGTGACACATGACCCCTGTGAACTGTGACTGTGCAGTCCCTCCATAGGAAAATCCTGGAGTGACTTTTGTCCCTGGGTCGTGGGTGGTCCTCACGACAGCAGCGATTATAAACCTCTACACATTCCACAACACTGAGAGTGTGAAGAACCACTGTTCTTAGAGAGCACTGATGATCATCGCAAATGTGAACTGGACTTGAGCTTTAAACCGTGTTAAAATGTTGTTACCTCATCATAAACATAACTGAAGCTGTGTTTTGTTTCATTTACACAGATTTGAGTAATCCTTTATTCATTTGTCTAGTTTTTAAATTAACAGCTACCTTTTTCTTTTTGCTCAGTAGAGATTGGATGATTTCAGCCTTGGAATTAACAAATGATTCAAGTGAAGGTGTATGGAGTTTAAAAACACAATGGAGCATCCTGTATTAGCACGACATCACAAAGTAGAACAGTGTTTTCTGTTTAAACTCAGCCTAAATCTGCCGGGTTTGTGTGTTAAATGTGTGTGAATGAAACAAAACACAGCTCCAGGTATGTTTTTGATGAGAAAACAAAATAACAAATCAGAAAAAATAGCGTAATAAGGGCCCTTTAGTCCTACACTGATTCCATGTAGTCATTTCAGTTGGTCTTGACTGTATTTTACACGCAGAACTTGTATCAGGAAATCATTACTTTCAGTAGTGCATGATCCATTTTGTACAAATTGTGAAAAAATTGCCCGGAAATTTCATTACAAATGCAAATTTGCTTCACAGCCAAAAAACAATCTAACATAATAGTGCTCAAAAACATGTTTTGAAATCTGTTTTTCTAGTTTCTGTAAAGCACAGAAAAAACTTCTAGCTCCAGGCATTTGCTATACTCATAACTCTGGCACAACTTGAATACAATTTGCCTCATTTGATTAAAAATTAAAACAAAAATGGCAGCTAAAGGGGCTCAATATTTGTAAGACTTCCACTCTCATACTAAGGTGAAGTATAATATGAACACCACACACTCTGAGATAATCGGATAAATAAATACTTGGGAGAATACAAGGATCAAAAAGTCACAATAGAAAGAAAAAGCACAAAATGTTAACATTTTATTTACAAAGTTTTTTTTCATACAGAAAGTAAAAATGTAGCTACAACCTTGATTTGTGCAACAGGTGGCCACGCTAAAAATGCTGGCTCACTGGTTGCACAGCTGCTATAGCAATAATTTTATTGTGGGGAGGGGGGAAAAAAGGAACAGAAAAAGACAAAAAAAAACAAGAAATGATAAACCCAACAACAAAAAACAATTCATTCAACAAAATATTAAAAGTACAGACCCAAAAAGTTGATACCAGTCCCAAAGTCCTCACACGGGAGTACATAAAGAGGATGGACAGTGAACGTGGAATGCAGAATGGTGGCTGCCTGAGTCGTTTGAGGCGGAGTCCAATTTGAGAGGGGGAGGGGGGCAGCTCCACTCAGCCCACCCGTCCGAATACAGTCTTGCCCCATGACAGAGCTCTGGGGGTAAGTGTGGATTACAAAGGTGGCGAGTTGTTGAAGGGGACGGGGCATGTGGGTATGTTTGGGATCGGGAAGGTAACTCTGTAGGCTCTCGTATTTTAGTTTAGCTTCTAATCGTCGTCCTCGTCATCGTCCTCCTCGTCTTCGTCTTCTGGGTCTCGCTTCCTCTTTTCTCCTCTGCCGGATTCTACAAGACAAGACGACCGATTAAAATACAAAAAGACTGACACACATTCATATCTTATTAGTTAGAACACTGTATGTGAATGAGAACCATGTTTAAAGGTCCTATATTATGCAACATTTACTCTTGTGAGCTTTTAGTCTTGTTAAATTGTTGTTACCTCATCAAAAACTTACCTGGAGTTGTGCTTTGTTTCATTTCACACAATTTTATGAATAATTTTTTTATTATTAGTCTGTCTAAATCTCCAAAGCTCTAAATCAGGAGTCTCCAACCTGTCGCTCAGGAGCTACCAGTAGCTCTCCACCCCCTTCTAAGTAGCTCGCCAAGGGATTTCTGAATTACACATTTTGTGCTTAAAAACTCAAATCTGATTACCGTATTTACCATTGTAAATATATAATTTTGATGCCCAACTTCTGCACTACTGAATGGAGAATAGTGTGTTTTATAAGCTTCTAACTGTGTCTCTTCTAAGTCTCGCCATGGCTCTTACACTGTCTCAATTTCTTGTAACCACTAAAATTAGTAGCTCCCTGGCATTTTTGTTTTTATAAAGGTAGCTCAGCAAAGGAAAAAGCTTGGAGACTCTTGCACTAAATGCTCTTTTCCACCTTGTGATGTCATGAAATGGTAATTACACACTGTTAACACTGAACATGTGCCATTCAACTATATCTATGTGCAATTATTTTTAGGTCTATTTTTTTAAAAATTATTTTTAAGCCATTATTTATTATCTGATTTATTGTATGTTACCTTTTTCCGGCTGTTCTTGAATTGCGCATTGCAACACTGGAATTTCCCCACTGTGGGACTAATAAAAGCATATCTTATCATCTTATTTTATTTTGTTAATAGCAACCATTTACCTTTTTTTCAGTAGAGATCAGCAATTCCAAGGCTGAAATGATCAAACTTATTCTTGTGACAATATGTGGAGTTTAAAAACGTAGTGGAGCGCTTCCTGTATTACCACATGACATTACAAGGTGGAACTCTTTGAGATAAGAACGCTAAATGTACAGGGTTTGTGTGTTCAACGTGTATGTTTTTGGGGAGGAAACAAGATTATAACACGACTAAAAGCTCACAAGA